CTGTCCAAATCTTTCTGTTTATTCAAATTTGAGATCTATCAATATCTCCAAACTTTATCTATGAGTGATCAACTAATCTTTCAGGTTCTGTTAAAATATAGTGAAGATGGTATAGGTCAATTCGCACGCAATCTATTTGAGGAGTCGCGTGCTTATTCGAAACTGTTGGTCTTATCAAAGGGGCTTGGAAACATTCCCGAGAATCTGTCGGTGCTTCGTTGGGAAGGTTTTGAAGACAGCTTGCCGCAGGTTCATGTATTTTTCGGGTTTTCTTGATTCGTTACTTTGAATTCTTGTTGTCATCGTCATCTTGAGGAATGACTGTGAATATGTTGTTCCGTGAATGAATACTACTGATTGATATCTTAGGTGTCAGTGATATGCACTTTTTAGTTGCGATTGTGCAGCAGTCATGCGTTCATTTGTGTTGACAACAGAATTTATCTTCAAAATATTTATCGGATTTGGCCGAGATGTGCATTTTTCATTGGCTAGACTGCGTGTCTCCTTGTTGGACACTTCAAAAACAATCAACGACAACTACGGTAGCAAACAGTGGTGGATTGCTACCTTGCATTTAGGACATAATAATATTCTTCATCAGTGTCAACGGTTCAAATGCTTACATTGAACTAGTATTTTGATTTTCTTTGATGGTCGTTCTTGTTTGAAATATGACAGTGTGGGTACTCTAGGGTGAATTTGATTTGGTTTGAAATGTCACCATTGCCGTCTTGCTTAATCATCGAATAGTGCTGCTGATAGGAATTTGATGAAACTCAGTTTAAGATATGTTTTCAGTGTACTGAGGAATTGAGTGCGAAATTAGAAATGGTAATCGCAATGATGAGTATTTCGAGCGATTCTAATTATTTGTTGGAGCGAAGAATAATGAAGAGATGTTGACCGTCGATGTGAGGCGTTGCCAGCCAAATATTAGCCTTATCATGATATTGTGAATGTTTTCGTTGATAATTGCAATAAAGAATCAATGATTTTTCTTTTATAAAAATTCTTCGTTTCGTCTGATATATGTTTGTATCGTTTCTTAATGGTAAT